GGAGCCCTGGCCCAGGCTGCCCAGAGAGGGTGTGGAGTCTCCTGCTCTGGAGACTTTCCAACCCGCCTGGACGCGTTCCTGTGGGGCTGCCCTGGGTGACCCTGCTATGGCAGGGGGTGGCACTGGGGGATCTCCAGAGGTCCCTTCCAACCCCCAACATTCTGTGATTCTGTGATTCAGATGACAGACAAACCTCTCACACCGATGTTCTTCAGTCTTGCCTTCTACCTCTGTGCTGTTACAGCAGGGACTGCTGTTTGGGTGACAAATACGGAGAGAGTGACATTGAGAAGATGCATTTTCAAGCGACGTAGCTACCTTGCTTTCTGAGCAGAAAGAGCCACCTTGCTTATGACCTGTTGTAGGGGTTGTCAGACCTATCGTGTTTGTTCATGTGGTTCAGCTAAAATTTGGGAGTGACTGGGTAGAAGCTGAAACGATTAAATTATTTGAATTTGCATCACAAATCTGGGAACGTGTGACAGTAAAACTGATGCTCGGGAATGAGTGTGTTTTTTTCAGAAAAAATGTGCCTATCAGTGACTTGGCAATGGTGAAGTCAGATAACTGCTCTTTGGATGGCAGGATGTTTAATTGCACGATATGAATGTGTTGGGGACAGAGTAAAAGCCCTCCTGAAACCATTTCTCAGTCATTGGCTTAAAACTTGCACTGAAATTGCTCCTTGACTCTGTCTTTGTTTTTTTCTTCTTCTAGTGGGGAAGACTTCCTTGATCACCAGGTTCATGTATGACAGCTTTGACAACACCTACCAGGTAAATTAATCCCTGTTATTGTCTCTCGCAAGGCCCCTCTGTTGCCGTGTCTTCCGTTGCAAGAGGAATCCATTTGGTTGCAGTGGGACAGGAGTTGGTACACAGCCTCAGTTCTTCCCTGTAACATCTTTAAGCTTTGTATTTTCATAACCTTTCAGGATGACATTTCAGTGTTGGATCCGGCTCGAGTGGCTTATCTGCTACTTGCAGAAGGATGAGCTGTGGGTAGGCTTCTGGGATATACTCAAGTAACAGCAGTTGTTAAGTTTACGTGGTTTTATACTTCACCATTTGCTACCAGACTGTCGCTTTCTAATGCCTCTAACGGGGAAAATGTAATGGGTACCCCTGACTCTCTTGAAAAAAAGAAGCTGAGCTGCAAGAGCTACTGCGGTGGAGAGAGCGAGGAGTCGCGGAGTGGAAAGCAGAGGATTGTGAGGCTGGGTTGCTTTCGGATGCTGTTTTGTGCTCTCTGCTGAAACAAAGACCACGCCACCAATTGCTCCGCAGGCCCCGATCCTGTGCCTGCTTCATTTCAACAAGGTTGGGTTGGCACGGCTGGGGCTGAGGCACTGGTTGCCTTCCCTTCCAGTCGACCCTGCAGCCCCCTCACTGCTTCGTGTCTGGTGACAAGTCACTTCAAGTTGACGCAAGCCAACTTTTCTAAGCTCTAGGAGAGCAGGCATTGTTGCCCACTCCCAGAATTTCGGGTGAGCTTGAAAAGGTGGCGAGCTATAAAAGTACTTCGGTTCTGTAAAGTGTGTCTTCTCCAAGCAGAAAGTGTTTCGTGACTTGGTTACAGTTGGTGACGTTCTGAATACACTAAGCTGAGAAAAAATCTGTTCCCTCATGAAAGCGAAAGGTTTTTTAGGGGGGTGAGAGGAGGAGGTAACGGGAAAAAACCCACAAGAAAAACGCTGTGGCTCTTCTGTTACATAGTGTCTATCCAAATATCTTGTTTAAATCTCTTTACCCCTAAATGATTTCCTTCCTGCCCCTTCAGTAATTCTTCATGGCTGCTGCTAGGCAAGTTGGGTAGAAGGAGATGCAAGTTCTTGCTTGACTATGGGAGAAGCAAAGCTTCCACGGTGTAGGAGGGCTGGAGTACACACCATTGCTCCCAGGGGAGCAAACATCCTTTCAAATTCTACCCGCTGTAATTACATGGACACATGAATGCAGTTCTTGTATTTAATCTGTTTGCGTTTTTTCCCCCCCCTCCAGTATTTTTCTTTCAAGTCTGCTCCTTTTCTCTACGGAGCTTGCGTCCTAGTTCTTTTCATGACGAGGTTTGACCCTCTGTGCTTTATGATAATACAGTTGTCTCCATGGGAAGCTGGCCCGACGTAATATTCTACATGACTGCAAAATGAACGAGTGGTACTAAAACCAGTAAGAAATCCTGAGGGCTTAAAGAAAGCTTCAGTTTAGCCATCACTGATGCGTGCGTAGTTTGGGTGTTAATGGGTTGGGTTTGTGTCACTCATGCAGAAACCTTTATTTGAGTGAAGTCATGGCTGAGGTAGGGTGATGCATCCTGTTTTGCTATAACTGGAAGAAAGAATGAGTCATAAAAGCTCCTGTAATTTGGCCAAAATCACACCACATGGTAGTGTCAAACCAGAATATACGTTTCTCCGGGCCCACGATTGTAAAGAGACCTCTCCAGGCCAAGTGCAGGGGTGATAACGCATCTCAACCCATGTCTGTGGTTAACTGTAGCTGTAGGTCAGTTGATAGAGAATTTGTTCATTTGGGACATCTCTGATAAATTTTGAATGTGCTTTTTCTGAAAGCTGCCACAGCCTAATCATTTGAACAAGTCTTTTAGTGCTCAGTCGGTAAAAATAGAAAGAAAATAGTTTTCTTTCATTTGCTGCTAGATAAGAGGAATTCGACTGTTGTCTCCGTAGCTTATTATTAAGCTGTTTTCTTGTGAGGGACATTTGTGAATCGAACAAGAACTCGCTGTTCTGTTCAAGGAGACCCAAACACCTGAACTAAAATTGTGCCACTGGTGGTGGATGTTGCACCAGGAGTGATTCCTCTCCATGGAGACACGCTGGGAAAGGTTTTCCTTACGTGGCCCCGTACGTCATACATAATGAAAGACCAGCGTTGGCAACCGTGGTGATTCTGTGCGTGTTATGCAAGAGGAGAATTACAGACGACGCTTCCCTGTAGCTTCAGTCTCTTGGAGGAGGAGAGGAGGGAGGAGAGTGAGGAGTTGCAGTGCTGGGCTCTGACTTACAAAATAATTCAGGTTCTTGCTTTGCCTCGGGCTTCCTCGCATAGTCTTGGGTAATTTTTTGTCGGCAAGTGTTGCCTATAAAATAGGGTGACGACAGGCCCTTGATAGACACTAGTGTTGTGAGGACAGATGGATTAAAATGTGTTCAAGTGGGTTAAACCTGCCTCCACCTTAATTATGGTCGTTAACTTAATTTCATGGCCCTGTTTTTCCCCATCTGTAAGCAGGCGTTTTCTCTTCTTGCACATTGCACGGCTCTTCCTTTACAGCTGATCTGTAAAGATCCTCCAAGCTTTTTTTTTTTCTCATTTTGTCAGAATTGTGACAAAATGCCACTCTGTAGGTTATTTTTTATAAAAATCTGGGATACACAGAGTGCTTGAACCCACTCCTTTTTACTGCAGCTCTGACAAAACTCTGCAATTAGCACAAATACTTTCATCGCCCAGATCGAAAGGAGGTTTTGTGCTTGGCCTTCCCGTTGCATTTCCCATGGTGTGAGTGTTCAGGGCCGGGAATCTTGCCGACCCGACACGTTTCGGCACGGTGCTTGCGTTCCTGCCGGCTGCGTAGAGGCTTCTGTGTAAGCCTGGAGAAGAGGAGATGGAGGGGAGACCTTATCACTCTCTACAGCTACTTGAAAGGAGGTTGTAGTGAGGTTTGGATTGGTCTGTTCTCCCCAGTGGTGAGTGACAGGACAAGGGGAAATGGCCTCAAGTTGCACCAGAGGAGGTTCGGGTTGGATATTTGGAAGAATTTCTTTACTGAAAGGGTTGTCAGGCATCGGAACAGGCTGCCCAGGGAGGGGGTTGAGTTGCCACCCCTGGAGGTGTTTAAGAGACGGGTGGATGTTGTGTTGAGGGACGTGGTTTACTGGTGTTGATAGGGCCAGGACAAAGGTTGGACTTAATGATCTTGAAGGTCTCTTCCAGCCAAAACTTTTCTATGATTCTGTGACTTACGAGCTTCAGAACTCTCGCTGCCTTGCAGAGGTGTCGGAGGAACGGCATGAAGTACAGGCTCAGGCAGGTTGCGGGCTTTGTAACTCATGTTTCCAGCTCCTGCCGAGAGCAGAGAAAATTGGAGTCTCCAGTAGTTTGTCAGCTGGAATGAGATTCTGGCTTGTATGTATGGGGTGAGATCTTAGGGGTTTCTGTAGCTTTTCTACTGTAAAGCAAAATCAAATAGACACGAGGGAAAATAGGAGCATCTTTGAGGCAATCTTCTGCGGAGTACCCTCTACCGAAACAATGGAAAACAAAAGCAGAAGGGAAGCCTGTTGTTGCATTAGTCTTTTCAGGCTTCTCACATCTGCCTTGCAGCTTCGGTATCATCTCTCTGAACTGGTAATGTCGCAGTTCTTGATGACAGGTGAAAAAAAAAATCACTGGGTAGCTAGTCTTTATTTTTCCTCTGTGCGTCTCTGGTGCTCCAAATCGGAGTTTAGTTTGGGTTGTTCCATTCTGCTTTTTAAATTCCTTTGCAGACTATTTTTTTCTGGATTACTTGGAAGCAAACTGTCTGGCTTGATTCTTTATTCCTACCACGTTAAAATATCTGGCAGAATACAAGGAATTAATTATGGGGGTATATAGTGGGGGCATAATAACAGTGTAACAATATGGAGCACGTGCATTAAATAGCGTCTCCATCAGAAGTACCTGAAGAACAGGGAAGAAGTGATGTTTGCCTTAGCTGAGAGACTTCCTTCCTAGCTGTTTGTTTGTTTGTTTTGTTTTCCTTTTAAGATCATTTTGCTTGGAACGTTTTCCAGGCTCTGTGGGTACTGCTGAGCCGTGGAGCTGC